GCAGCTGCTGCAATCAGCAGTGTGAGCCCTAGCGGAAGCTTGGATAGCCATGGAGCTTGCTTCACCCAACTCAGTGGAGATGCTAAAATTGACTCTCTAGCACCCAGTGGAGCTGCTACAAAATTGGAGGCAGCCCAAACAAATTTGAAAAATAAGAGGAAGAAACCTTCATCTCCCAATACTAGCATTAAGAGACCGAACAAAGATTTGGTCTCGCCCTCAGCATCAACTACCATTGCAAACTCTAGCAACAGGTTTGGGTTGCTAGACATGGACATGGACATGGAGGAAACCAGTGTAAGCCATGTTGCCGAAAGTTCCATAGCTACAAATGAAGGCCCTACTAGCGTTTCTGAGACTGTGCATCGGAATATTTTTAATGACAGTACTGATGCAAGTGACACAGCCAACAACTCACATCATAATGTGTCTAATAACAACAATCAGCTTAACGGTACCCCAAAGCCACTGCAAATAGTTGTGAGTATATTTCCCAAAGACAGTAATTACAGAGCCAAAGTTAACCATTTTGTACTGGTATTGAGTTCCATACATATCAATTGAAGGAAGAGAAGCCTTACAGAATAGTAGTTAAGGGGCTCCACCATATCACTTTAAACAACGAAATTATTGCCAATTTAAAAAAAAATGGCTTTGATACTCTGCAGGTACACAACCCAAGATCAGGACCAACAGAGTTGAAAAACTAAATATATTCTTCATTAAATTAAGGCCATGCGCAAAAATTAATGAAATATATGATATCAAAACACTGCCGACAAGAAGTGAGAATAGAAAGGATGCGCAAAACATCTGAAATCGCTCAATGCATACTATACCAGGAATACGGTCACACAACCAAATACTGCCATCGTCATCCCAATTGTGCACGATGTGGCGAAGATCATCTCACCAAGCTATGCGGACGTCCCAAAGATGAACAGCCTACCTGCATGCACTGTGGAGGGAATCATATGGTAGGCTACAAAAGATGCCAGTGGTACCAGGAGTATCTTCAACGATCAATGGGGTCTTCAATGAAGAAACAGTCTTACACGTTGCCGTCTAGACAGACCTGGAGGGATACAAATCAAGCAAAGCAGCAACAACCACAACGAAAACAGCAGCAGCAACAACCAACTCGACAGCAACAAACACGACAATGCCTAACACCTCTAGAGTCAATACTGGAGGCAGATCCTATGCCTCAATAGCAAGAAACGCAACGAGCCTGCCCAGCGCCGTATACATGATCTTCAAGTGCTACTACAGTTATTAAAACGAAAAGAAAATATTAGGCAGCAGCAGCATTAAGTTGACGTTCAGTCACTATTGGAACAACAGCAGTTTTTGAAATGGCAACAACAGCTGCAAATACAGCAACAGCAGCAATTCCTCTTGTGGCTTCAGGAGCAGCAACGAGAACAACAACAACAAAACAAGCAAAACAGTCAACGACTACGCTCGAAAAAATGGTTCATGAAATGGCTAACATGATACAGCAATGGACTGGGGATGTATCGTCTTACCAGCTCCATAACAACGCTTCAGCCTCACAATGAATTCCCTCAAAATCCTTATCTGGAATGTCAATGGCATTACAGGGAAAGCCAGAGAAGTTAAGCTCTTCGCGCACAACAACAATGTCGACATTCTTCTTTTAAATGAGATCAGACTAAACCGAGGGGAAACAGTCAAAATATACGAGTATTCATTCTATCCAGCTTACAAGCCATCACGCCACAATCACGGCAGCGGAGGAGCGGCGGTATTCGTGAAGAGTTCTCTCCGCCACATTTCTCAAAGAGTTATTAAAACGCGAACCATACAAATTTCTTCAATGAAAGTTGCCACAGGTTTGGGAGACATCGAATATAGCACCATATACTGCCCACCAAGGAATAGAATTGAAGGCATCTGGTTGGTGGAGACTGGAATGCGCGACATTGGCTGTGGGGAAATACATACAATTCACCCAGGGGCCGAGAACTAGCCGAAGCCATTACAGCCAGAGGAGCTAATATTCTTGCAACAGGATCACCAACTAGATACCCACATGTTTCCAGTCACACACCTACTTGCATTGATATTGCATTATAACATGGGATACCGGTTTCCCAAGCAAATGCCAAAGCTGGGACTTAGACTCTGACCATATAGCCCTTGTTGTTAAATTGCAAACAGATGATATTAATCTCAGGCCAAGCTCTAGCTTTCAGACAACATTTTGAATGCTCCATTCAAATAAATTCGACTATCGACTCTGGAGAAGACATTGAGAATGCAGTAGATTCTCTAACTGAAAATATATATAGAGCTGCTACTGCCACAACACCACCCTATCCTGAGTCACGTCCCATTGGTTATGGCATTGTTCTCAGCGAGCAGCAAAACAGCTACGTAACCTCTTAAGGGAACTCAGAAGTGATTTCTTCGAGCAAAAACTAGCTTCCATGGACCGTCGATGCGATCTACTCTATTGAAATGCACAAAATCGCTTAAACGACAACCCTTTAGACAGGTTCCTGTCCGATGTCATGTTGGCGAACTTGCTAAAAACGAAAGGGAACAGGCTAATGCTTTCGGATACCATCTAGAGGCTCGTCTCACTCCTTATGACTTTGCTACGATAGAGAAGACTAGGGAGGCCCTTCAGAATCTGCAGACCCCTTTGCAGCTGTCCCTGCCTATTAATCCTATAAGGATTGAAGAAATAACTGAAGCGATCAAACTATTGCCGAAAAATAAAGCTGCGGGTATCGATACGATTTTTAATGCTACGTTGAAAGCGTTGCCTACAAGGGCGCTCCTCTATATAGTATTAATTTTTAATGTTATTATCAGGCTCCAAGTGTTCCCAAAGCAATGGAAGTTAGCAGCGATTCTGATGATACACAAGCCAGGCAAACCAGAAGCGGATCCTGAGTCGTATCGGCCAATAAGTCTCTTACCATCCCTGTCTAAATTATGGGAGAGGACTATTGCCAATCGGATTACTGCCAATATAAGCCAATGCAATATCTTGCCGGATCAGCAATTCGACTTTCGAGGGGGACACGGCACTGTGAAACAGGTCCACAGATTGGTGATGCACATCATTCAGGCTTTTGACGACCAAGATTTCTCCAACCCTGTCTTCATTTGACATGCAGCAAGCGTTCGATAAGCTGTGGCACGATAGATTACTGTGCAAAATAAAAAACCTTTTACCTGCACCGTACTATGGCCTTTTAAGGTCATATCAGGAAGGCCGAGAGTTCAAGGTCAAAATAAGGGACACATACTCGACCACTTATACTATGAGAGCAGGAGTGCCGCAGGGCAGTGTTCTTGGTCCGCTGCTGTTTTCCTTGTATACCTCAGCTGTACCCAGCCCTACCTCTCAACATATGGAAGCTCCCTCTAAGGCTATAATTGCGACATATGCAGATGATATCGCAGTCGTTTATAATTCCAAAAGTATCGTAGAAGCAAGTAATCGGTTACAGGGGTATCTTGATACTCTCGCAGCTTGGTGCAAACGGTGGAATTTTAAGATTAGCCCGCTGAAAACAATAAGCCCCTCCAATCCAGCTAGAAGCAGTAACCCTGGAGCAGCCATCACAAGCTAAGTATCTCGGCATTTCCTTGGACAAGCGCCTTACCTTTGGGCCACACCTCAAAGCTACGGTAAAAAAATGTCGTCACAGACTGCAACAACTGCGGTGCCTCAACAATAAAAGGAGTACCTTGCCGCTGAGATGCAAAAGAGCTGTATACTGTAGCAATCCAAAAGGGAATATATGCGATCTTGTGCCCTACTCAAGAGGACACTAGCTTCGTGTGGTTGATGCTTTAACACGGAGGTGAAGAGATTCGGAGGGCGTGCACTTCTTGCGTTGCTATAAGTTATGCTCGTCGGATTTGGCGTGGGTCTTTTCCTCTTCCCTTCACATATCACTCCTTTTGTGCTCAGAGAGGTTAAGTGCACTGGCTATAAACTAATAAGTTGATGATCCAATAGTGTGTATTCGGGCGGTACCCACGTACCGAATAAAAGTAAATGATAACGGTGATCTGTTATGCTGATGTTGATCGCTCCCTATTCTTTACCCTCACAACCTTGGTAACTCGTGATTAATTTGGGTGGTTACCCCTTAACTAATGTTTTATTCAAATGAACATAAACAATATAATTCCAGCCTTGATCGTGCCGACGACGGACCTTACTATAAAATTTATCTATGCATTTGATTTAAAGTAAACTTCAAGTATCGATAAACCCGATTAAATAATTCGTTCGCCAATCAAAGGCCGTACTAACTTTAAGTTAGACTTAGACTTGTCACTCACGCTTATATCAATCGGTGCAGGTTCGTTGGGCCCATCGAAGTTGCAATTGATGTGGTGTTTCGAAATGATCTATTACTGTGCATAAAGAAAATTATTTAAACGGAAATCGCTGCTACTGGTAACGCTATTATGTACTCACAGGAAATTCGTAGATTAAAGTTACATTAAGATAATAAAAAAAAATTGAAATCTAAGAATCTAAACTGAGATCGGCTGTCCAACAGACATCAAACAGCTGATAATCCCATGCGGTTCGACGAAAATCTAATTTCATTTAGAACGCCTGCGCGCGAGGTATCGAACGAGCAAGGCTATATTCGATGGTGGTTAATTATAATTCGTTTCCAGATAAAGACTTCTTTTGCACTCCTTTGTGGACTGCATTTCTTCTTTCCTTGTGTCACGTCTACGCTTTACGTCACCGAGCTTAGCTGTACTTTACCAAGTAAGATAAAGTACGCACGACATAACTACTTGGTCGTTCTAAGCTTTAAATAAACATGAAGCGGTAAAAGGGTGCCGGTGCAAAGTTCTGATTGAGCCGACAGCGCCTGTGAACTGAAGCTTAGTAGTTGGCAGAATAAACGCCTATGTAGGGGCGGTAGTTAAGTGTGGGGCTCTTTCGGCCGGTCGCCGAATGTGTTGAATGTTTAAGGCGCGGGAACACCTTACGCAGACCGGCCGATGGCTGAGGTTGGTGGCCGCTGCTGATGCTCCCTGTAAAAAGGTGAATCTGAGTTAAACAGTACTAACTGTTTCTCATGGCAAAAGTACCACCTTTCCAATCACTATGTCGCGTCCGCGACCAAGTACGTTGGTCTTCAATTTTATTTATGACCGAAAAAGTGTAACACGTGTAATCTTGAACAATGTTAATGAGCAGATAATATGCGTCCGTTACGTTTGTTCGATTTCACAGCTCAAAACCAAGTGAACGAGGTGACCGCGTGGATAACTACATTTGTCGCTTGTAATATTTAACGAAACTATGGCGTGATTGCTTGTCTTATTCTTTGATGTCTTTTCTTGTCGCTTTATGCATCAGGTGCGAATGTAAACTGGTGCGAGAAGCTGCAAATAATACAATAGCCGATGCGTGAGAGCGAGACGACATTAGGCTGACCGCCTCGAGAGATAATACTCTACTTTAGCTGCTGGGTATATACGACTGAATATTAAGAGTTGATTCAAGCCTACTGGCCCCCACATCACAGTTAATACTACGAGAATTTCATCTCGAGAAGATGTTAACTGAAAAAGGGTTAGTAATCTATGTTTATCACATTGGGGCTATAGCTTTATGTCCTTTATGTGATACACTCCTTCAGACTTGTTGCTTTCATTTGAAGTTCGTAATACGTCGGACTTAATTTCTTGACAGCCTTAGCTTTATTGAAGACTGGGGCGAGTTTGCTGCTAAACTTATTGCTTGCATTACTTTGCGCAAAGCTGTGTACGAAAACAATATCGCCTTCACTTAGCTTTACCCTGCGGCTGCGCAAATTATAGGTTTTCGCTTTATCTGCATGAGCTTTGTTACTTTTAGCTTTTGCGCGCACTAGTTACAATAGATCAGGTGTTTTTAATGGCGTGTCGTCCGTAACTAAGTTTAATTTTCATTCATAATCATGTTCTGGCCAAAGCACAAAAAGTATGGTGCAAATCCTGTACTACGATGCAGACTAGACCTCAGTGATCCGCTAATTTTATTCAAATGCTCGTCCCAGCTTGTTTGATCATATCCTACATATGCGCGTATAGCTGCCAGTATGGAACGGTTCAATCGCTCACTTGCATTTGCCTGTGGGGAATAATTTGCGGTACTCCAAATGTGTAAAATACATGATTTTCCAGGAAGTCACAGATTCTGTTAACATTTTCACCGGGTGTAAGAAGTGAATCTTCGTGTGGTGGTCGACAATGACCAAAAGACCGATGTTTCCGTTTTTTGACCGTGGGTATGGACCTAACAGATCCATGTACAATTTTTGAAATGGTCTTTCCGACGTCATAGGCTTGCCCATTGTTGGCCAAAGAACGGTATTAGGACCTTTTGTTGACTTGCATGTGAAACAATTGGATATATAATCACGAACTTGCGTTACCATGCCGGACCAAAAGAGATGTCGCTATAACTTTTCTACCATTTTGCCGATTCCGAGGTGAGCTGAATCCGCCGGATTATGGGCTCGATATAAGACTTGTTCTCTCAAGTTATCTGGAACCCAAAGCTTCCAAGATTCTGATCTAGCTATATCATCATCTTTTGCGGGTTCAGTTCGCTTATATACAAATTTATCGATAATCTTTAGGTATGGTAGCCTAGGCTGGTTCTCATTTATTTTCTTTATCAAATCTAGATATTCCTGGGAAGTAAATTCTGTGGACGATACGTCAATAATTGGTCCAAAATTTGAAAGTTCGAAGGTGTCGGCTTCGTACCTCCGGGACAGGGTGTCGGCAACGACGTTTTGCGATCCGCTTCGATGTTTAATTTCGAATGAAAAGCCTTGCAATCGGATCGACCATCTGGCCAAGCGCCCTGATAGATCCTTTTGCCTCATCAGCCACTGTAAAGAAGCATGATCGGTAACTACCGTGAATTCTTGTCCTTCAATGTAGGCTCGGAATTTATTTATTCCTTTAATAACTGCTAAGCATTCGAGTTCGGTGACCGAATAATTTCGTTGAGCTTTAGACAATTTTTCGGACATATATGCAATTGGTAACTCGACGCCGTCATCATTTGCTTAGGCCAATACACAGACCATACAGACTTGCATCGCACAATAATATAAAGGGTTTCGAAAAACAAGGAGTCCTCAAAACAGGTGCAGGTGTCAACTTGTTTTTCAGTAGCTTAAAAGCTTCTTCTGCTTCCGAATTCCAATTCAGTGGTCTATTCTTTTTCAGAAGTTCAGTTAAGGGAAAGGTTATTGCAGCGTAGTTTCTACAAACCGTCGGTACCATCCGGCAAGACCTAAGAATCGCCTCAATTGCTTCACCGTGGTTGGGACTGGGAATTCATTAATCACCTTGCCCGGTCGACTTTGAGCTGCATAGTCTAGACTTTTTATCAAGCGGGATTTGCAAAATGCATGCTTTATATCGAGACCAGTGATAAAACGAGCGAGGGGCAATCGACTAAGAATGCCATCTACATGTGGTAAAGGATACGCGTCTTTCAGCGTCAGCTTATTCAGTTCTCTGGAATCTAAGCACAAACGATTTTTCTCTCCCTTCTGTACTAATACGCAATTGCTGCTCCATGGTCTCTTCGATTCTTCTATCACGTCTAGCGCTAGCATGTTTTCAATCTCGGCAAACATCAGTTTTTCTTTGGCAGGGGAAACTGGCAAATGACGCTGTTTAACGGGCTCAGCATCTGCAACGTCGATGTTATGCTCTATTAGGTGTGTGCGTCCTAAGCCTTCTTTCTCGTAAGAGGGTAGCTCGCTAATCACTGAGCTGAGTTTGGGCTGCAGAGCAGCTGAGAGAGCATGCATTTGGACACTAGTTACGGTGTTCTCATCTCGACCTACATCTAGTTCTGCGACAGATTCTACGGGAAGATCTGTAATTATTATTAAGGAAACCAAAATCTCTCCAAAAATCTTTTCCCAAGTAACAGTTTTGTTCTAGGTCAGGTATAACAAAGAATTCTACTGGTTTAGTTTGATGGTGGTAAGTTATTTCAACGACAAGTCGGCCAACTTAGGCATAAAGTCCTACAAACTCTTGCGCGGCTATGACGCCAATGCAGCTTATAGTTGCACCAGAGTGGGTTACGTTCTCCATATTGGTTCGACTCATATGTGATTTCGGTCTGAGTACTACAATCGGTTCTTAATGGTTCGGATTCGACAGACTTTGTTTGGCTGACGCATCCCTTCTGCGGTTTTCCGACGGGTTACATGTTGGACACTTTGGCTTATCGGTGTTTTTAATCCCACATCCATAACAAAAGATGGACTTTGCGCAGTTCCAGTACTCCACTTGCTTATGCTGCAGTGCCGCAATTTCTTCCGGTTCTTCGGTGTCCGACCCATTCTCGAGCTGAGAGACAGAGCGTTGGGAAAAAATATTCTTTACTGATTGGGGCTAAACTTGTTTAGAAAACTGCTTGTGAGTGCGAATTGCATCTCTTAAACGCGCTAGGGTGTTTATGCCTAAGTGCATCAGCTCGTAACGAAGCTGGGGTTTCGAATGACGAATAAGAAGGCGTACTAACGATTCTTCTGAAATTACGGTTTTTAGGCGAGACACCAGTCTCTCGACATGGAACTGATATTCCTAGAATTTTTCTTTGTCGCCTTGACGTCTGCTATTAATTGCCTCCCAAATATCCATATCTGTTTCAATATCGTCAAAATTCGCTCTAAACTCTCTACAAAACTCATCCCAAGTAAACTGAGGGCAAGTGCGATGGAACTTCCAATACCACTCGAGGGCTTTCCCACCGAAAAATAGGTGTAGATGATCGCATAGAAGCTGATAGCCTCCGTTCAAATTCTGTTGAGCTAGCGCTTGAACTCTGTAGAGGAACTCATCCGTCTGCAGACCTAGAGATGGTCTGCATCGAATTTGACTCGCCAACTCTGAATAATAATTGGAGCTTTGTCTGGCAGAACCGAAGCGATTGGCCTCCTGGCGTTGCCATTGTATTGGTGATTGATATGACCTCAACTTGAGGATGTATTTTGGTTCTGGTTCGCTATAAGGACTGGTTGACCGGGTGGAGTAAACACTCTTTCTCGACATGAACGATGCCTATTACTGTCCACCTGAAGTGTCGATAACTGTCCCTGAATTACTGCTGTCAGGTCCTGCATAAGCTGTTGCTGTTGAACCTCCATAGCTGCCTGAATTATTTGGTTTGTATCTTCCACACTATATGTTTAAGGGGCCTCGTGAGATGCGCTTGCCTCACTGGCACCGATGTTTGGCAGGGGCGCGGGATGGCTTCGCTGTTGGGATCTGGTCACCATGCAGTGGATAATTCGGCTTGTAAGTTGTTGTTTGATAAGGATAGCTGATTAAATGTGCACAGCCGTTTGCATGTTGGGCAGTGGTTAGATTCTCGTAAAGACTCGGTAATACATGGGTAATGAAATTAATGTTTACAGAGTGAAACTGCTGTTAAATCAGCCTCATTCAATGGTTGGTCGCAAATATTGCAAATTGTGACGAACTGATACTTATTTTTTTCTTTTTTTTTAACTTTTTACTGAACTTTTAATAGTAAATTTGGTCCGCGCCTTCCGACTCTTTGCTGGTCATATTGTTATCAAAGCTGGATAATCTCACATAACGTCGCACAAACTGAAAACTACTGACTTTCGATTGTTGAGATCGGGTTCGTCTTTACAGGTCAACTATTCCTAAGTTGCTTTTCCGCATAAATACGCGGCCTAATCTTGCTATCGTTACCCCAGGTTCGAAATGCGTATTGGTTGTCTGTGATTCTATTCGCTCTAGTCCATCTACTCCTAATAAGTACCGCTATTCCTAGAGACGGTGATTCACTTATACCAACGGGTCGCTTCAACCTAGGTTACTGGGTGAATTCTATGATTTGAAAGTTATCCCTGAAATGAGATTCGATTCGGTCGACTAATCCGTAAGCAATCGAATCAAAATCGCTTTTCCAGGAAACAAAATCATAAGACAGGTATGGAAAACTTCTCATCATAAAATTACGGAATTACGTAAATGCAAAATATGTTAATAATGGGTGAAAGTTAAGAGCTTTAATGTAGGTTTTACTTCTCCTAGTCGTTCAGGCCCCACGTTGGGCGCCACTTTCTGTAGCATTCCAAAAGGGTATATATGCGATCTTGTGCCCTACTCAAGAGGACACTAGCTTCGTGTGGTTGATGCTTTAACACGGAGGTGAAGAGATTCGGAGGGCGTGCACTTCTTGCGTTGCTATAAGTTATGCTCGTCGGATTTGGCGTGGGTCTTTTCCTCTTCCCTTCACATATCACTCCTTTTGTGCTCAGAGAGGTTAAGTTCACTGGCTATAAACTAATAAGTTGATGGTCCATTGTGTGTATTCGGGCGGTACCCACGTACCGAATAAAAGTAAATGATAACGGTGATCTGTTATGCTGATGTTGATCGCTCCCTATTCTTTACCCTCACAACCTTGGTAACTCGTGATTAATTTGGGTGGTTACCCCTTAACTAATGTTTTATTCAAATGAACATAAACAATATAATTCCAAATATTGAAATCTAAGAATCTAAACTCAGATCGGCTGTCCAACAGACATCAAACAGCTGATAATCCCATGCGGTTCGACGAAAATCTAATTTCATTTAGAACGCCTGCGCGCGAGGTATCGAACGAGCTAGGCTATATTCGATGGTGGTTAATTATAATTCGTTTCCAGATAAAGACTTCTTTTGCACTCCTTTGTGGACTGCACTTCTTCTTTCCTTGTGTCACGTCTACGCTTTACGTCACCGAGCTTAGCTGTACTTTACCAAGTAAGATAAAGTACGCACGACATAACTACTTGGTCGTTCTAAGCTTTAAATAAACATGAAGCGGTAAAAGGGTGCCGGTGCAAAGTTCTGATTGAGCCGACAGCGCCTGTGAACTGAAGCTTAGTAGTTGGCAGAATAAACGCCTATGTAGGGGCGGTAGTTAAGTATGGGGCTCTTTCGGCCGGTCGCCGAATGTGTTAAATGTTTAAGGCGCGGGAACACCTTACGCAGACCGGCCGATGGCTGAGGTTGATGGCCACTGCTGATGCTCCCTGTAAAAAGGTGAATCTGAGTTAAACAGTACTAACTGTTTCTCATGGCAAAAGTACCACCTTTCCAATCACTATGTCGCGTTCGCGACCAAGTACGTTGGTCTTCAATTTTATTTATGACCGAAAAAGTGTAACACGTGTAATCTTGAACAATGTTAATGAGCAGACAATATGCGTCCGTTATATTTGTTCGATTTCACAGCTCAAAACCAAGTGAACGAGGTGACCGCGTGGATAACTCACTTTGGCTATGCAACTGATACGCAACGCCAGCTACATTTGTCGCTTGTAATATTTAACGGAACTATGGCGTGATTGCTTGTCTTATTCATTGATGTCTTTTCTTGTCGCGGAAAGGTTTCGCCAAGACGATTGGACGTCAGTAAGACTACCTGCATTAAAAATTCTCATACTGAGCGTTATGGGGTTCGGTTCTAAATTTCATTTTTCATCCATGTGTTGTTAAGGTACTAGATTATGATTGTACATGCTCTACACTTAATAATTAAAAAAAAAAAAAACAATCCTTATTAAATGCAATAAATTCGATTGATTATAGTTATTGTAATATTATAGTAGTTTTTATACGATTGTTGATAAGGTGTGTTTTTAGTTACCAAAATAATTGTTTATCGTCGGGATCAAGTCTTGTTTTCGTTGTTCGGCTTTTTCTGTTTTATTACGACTGCTTCTGCTACTGACGGCTGACAACTGAACTGCTCTCTCTGTCGACTACGGTAACGTGAGATAATCGCTCTGGGATTTTACCTCGTTCTATATAGGGAAGGTTGCCATTTTACATGTATGAACGCAAGGAAATTCTGAATGTAGATAGGTCCTTCTAATGCCCGCGCAGTACAAATTTGTTTCCAATAATCGATAATTTGCCCCGATTCAAAGCAATCAATAACAACTAAGAGGTTCTAGTAGGGAGCTCCCGAATAGGGGATACCCTGAACCCTCTTACTCCAACACTAAATGCAACTCTCGCTACGCGCTCGTTTGCTTTAGTAATAATAAGAATAAATTTAAAAAAAAATCCCATGATGCCTCTTCTACTCAACAGCCACACCAGCCAAAAAAAAAAAAAAGTTTCCTCCATAGGGTTCGAACTCGCTACATACTGCACCGCTTGCCGCCGCCTCTACTCAAGAGCCACTCCAATAATTGGGACGCACTGAAAAGAAAACCAATTAAAATAGCAGCACAGAAAACAATACAATCGCAATTGCAATGATGTTGATAGAATTCAAAGCAGACGCGCATGAATGTGTGTATACAGAAATTCTTGGAATTTGCGCTTGCTGCTGCTAACACGTGCGCACATAACTTTTGTTTCTTAACCGATCTTAATGAAATTTTCGACAGTACGTCTTATTATGCCATAGAATATTTATGTTTTCTTAAAAAGTCAATTGCTTATAACTTGTGGCTTAAATTGATCGGCAATACAAGATGGATTATTAACTTAATTTATGGGTATGCGGTGATAGCGGGGAGGTGGCGATAGGTACAAAATGAAAGATACTTGATATATACATATATTCTATTATAGAAGCTACATGTCAAGTTTGGTGACTCTAGCTCATATTATTTGCCGAAATTGCTCTAAAACCAGGATTTCAATATCGATTTTTATCGAATACTTGGTAACGGGGCATGTTATCGGGTATCGGAAACAAACTCGATTCTCGCGTGCACTAGGAGGACTACATACAAAATTTCAAGTCTCTAGCTCTTATAGGTTTTGATATCCTTGCGTTCATACATATGGACGGACGGATGGACGGACAGACAGATGGACATGGATAGATCGACTTTACATGTGATGCTGATCAAGAATATATATACTTTATGGGGTCGGAGATGCTTCCTTCTGCCTGTTACATACATTTGCACAAATACATTATACCCTTTTCACCCATTTTTAATGGGTTCAGGGTATAAAAATCAATAACGGAATACTTTTTTTTTGACCAAATCCATTAGATTTTAAGATCTAGACTCACCTAACTTGAAATGTAGCTTTTAGAATAGTATTTACAGATCAAATTTCTCTCAATAAACCAAATAAGTAAATCAATTGGAACTTCCCATTAATTAATTTAAGTCACGCAGAAATTAAAGTTTTGAGATATACGAATATTCTATCGCACAATAAGATCTACTGCTGAAAATTACATCAAGATGGGTTATAAAACATAGAATTTATAAAGAAGTGATTTTATATGTTCACACAAATTCATGCACATCTTTAATTAATTTTATAAAGAGCACTGCAATTGCGATTGTATTGTGCGCTGCATAATTCTGGGATGTGTGTATGTGGCGCTATTTTGATGGGTTTTTCTCTTAAAACCAATTTGGAAGTGGTTGGTCGATACGGACATTTTTCTTAAAGAAAATATATCTTATATTTTGTATTACTCCAAGGGCAAACGAGCTCGCAACGCGAACTGTATTTGATGCTGGTAGAAGAGGAACTAAGATGAGTAGTGCCCATACATTTGCATGCGACGCAAAATTTCTAGCTTGGCCTTTGACGACATGCTAGCCGACGGCTGTTCGTTCAGACGAACGAATGCCGAAGTCGCAGCTTGATGATGCTGAAACGAGCAACGAAGTTAGTCGCCAGCCTGCCTTATGCAAAGCTGGTCGATGGTACTTTGCGTCGCTTCGTGTTCGAAGTACATTGAGCGAAAAAGTTAAAAACTTACGAATGACGCATAGTACTTCTGCCTTATCCATTAAATTCATGCTTTATTTAAATTATACATTACCCTAGATACTAATAATAAATTGTACAGGAAAAGTTAAGAATACAATTTTTTTTTTTACAAAGCGCATCTTGTGCAATGACTATGTTAGGAAAATAGCACACATAGATTGATTTCACTTTTTTTTTGACAGGGTATTGTCTCAGCCAATGGCGTGCAAGCACATTTGTTTGTATGTGTGAATTATGCATGCATTACTACATCAAAATATGTATATATGTGTTGTTATTCGCTGCTCTGGCTTTTGCTGGCAAAGAAATAAATTTTCTTAGTTTTCTAGCGCTGATCATGCATGACCTATTCCAAATTTGCGTT